TTTTGCTAGTTCTACAAAACCTCATTTGACATCTTGGCACTCAGCTGCCTCTCTGCCTCTTTAAAACCTATTCAAAATAATGAGTTCAAAAACAGGCAAACAAACATGTTAATTAGCTGATTCATATCCTCCATAGACAGAGAAAGTGCCCTGTCTGTGTGAAAAAGCATAAATTATAAAGAGAGGTGCTGTAATCAGTTCAAATCATGAGATACAAGAACTTCAGTAATTTTTAACCTGGAATGTTCCACAGTACCAATCTTCTTTTGCAATTAACAAAATCTCTACCCAGCCTCCTCTGATTATAAAAATAAATAAATAAAAATAACAAAATTTCTTCACAGCTGGCGTATGGAGAGGGTTCCCTGAGGACACTTGATGCTATCTTTAACAGGTTTAAGGCAGAAGTGACCTGGCCTATGGGGTTATACGTCTAACAGGAGAAAGTCATTACAGAGGAGCGCATGTCAAAAGCTGTGCTGCATATGCAATACCCCCATTAGCACTGTCCAACAGCCCACACGCTGAAGCCCACAGAGGACATGGACTACCGCACTGCCATTAGTCACTATGTAAATCCAGAGGAGGTTCAGTCCCTGTCAGGTCGCTCAACATAAGAGAGACAGAGCTGTGTACAGGCGTCAGTGTCGAAATGGACAAACCGCTCTCTCCATAATATGTTAAAAGCATTATGTTACCTTTTTATATTAAATTAAAGGTCAGATGGATCTTGAAACTATATGTATTGAGTTCAGTGTTTGGAAATGTTAGACTATTCATCTTGATTTGCTTTTCGAATACAGCGTGGAAAAATGTGCAATAGTTTTATAGGGTTTAGTGAATAATATTACCTCTACTGAAATTCACAAAATAAGGCGATGGTCATTCAAAATTGCTTATCTGCCACTGTCCTTGTGTGGTAATATGGAAATGTAACACAATATGGCATTAAACTTCCATCTATAACAGTGGTCCCCAGCGTTCTTTTGCGTCATGGACTGGTTTTATATCAGGCAATATTGGGGGATATGTGGGGGTGGGGGGAGGGGGAGGCACGATGCGCGGTCTGGTGGCATGGTTAAGTCCTGGCTAAATCCTGTTTTAGACCTGTTTTAGTCCTGGTTTTAGTCCTGTATTAGTCCTGGTTTTAGACCTGTTTTAGACCTGTTTAGACCTGTTTTAGACCCTGTTTTAGACCCTGTTTTAGACCCTGTTTTAGACCCTGTTTTAGACCTGTTTTAGACCCTGTTTTAGACCTGTTTTTAGACCTGTTTATACCTGTTTTAGACCCTGTTTTAGACCTGTTTTAGACAATTTTAGACCTGTTTTAGACCCTGTTTAGACCTGTTTTAGACCTGTTTTAGTCCTGGTTTAGACCTGTTTTAGACCTGTTTTTAGACTTGTTTTAGACCTGTTTTAATCCTAGTTTAGACCTGGTTTAGTCCTGGTTTTGTCCTGGTTTAGTTCTGGTTTAGTGGTGCAGTCCACGCGGAGTGCAGGAGGGGGATGGTCAGCGCACCATTCGGGAGGGCGGACGGTCCGCACGTCGTACAGAAGGGTGGATGGTCTGCACGATATATGGGAGGGGGACAGTCCGTGCTGTGTAGGGGAGGGGTGGAGACGGTCGGACAGTTCACACGGCTTATGGGAAAGGGGTGTTCACGCTTTTGCGGCCCGATACTAAACAACCCACGGCCTGGGGGTTGGGGACCCCTGATCTATAAAATTTTGTGCATTCCATATACTTTTATTGCTCAAAAATACCACAAAAAACATACATTCGTACAGTGAGCAGACTTGCCACTCCACAGATCTGACCTTTTTTAACCTGGTAGCTTCACCAGTGTCTCTCCATGGAAATTGGTCAGTTTAATTCCAAGTTGTAGAATATTCAAGACAAAGTAATGACACCTCTTTGGGGACAAGCTGTAGGCAGACTGTCCACCATAAAAGTTACATAATGAGCCTTTAATATTATGCATAAAATAGACATAAAAATTGTGCTGCCACTATTGATCCTCAAATCTCTTACAGAACACCTGCTTGAGCTGTCCACCTCATCAGTGAGAGGCCGACAAGAGCCGAGGGGGCGGGCTCAAGAGCACAAGAGCAGTGGGCACGGCGAGACGAGAGGTACATGATTAAAGCACATTCAAGATGGAGGGACGGAGTTTTATTTTAATGAGTACAGGTGCTTACAGGCTTTCAAGGGCTAAAGTTGAGCAAATATATTCAATGATCTGGCCTGATGTAATGTATACACGCAGGTAAAGTTAACTTAGAATGTTTGTCTCTTCATCATGGTTAGTCGTATAAAGAAGCAAGTGGACTTTTTGTTGTGTTGCTGTGTTAGGATGACCTCTGTTGTCCTATCCAATAGATGGGAACTCTAGTTTGATGCATGTATAAGGCGGCTATGAAAGTCATTTTGCTGGTGTCCACAGAAACAGCTTTGCCAGAAATGTTCCTCAATACTGCAATAAATGTATCTCAATGAAAAGTAGGTGTTGCCAACAGGTCAAGTTACAAGTAAGATCTATGGAGGAATTAGAGAATGTTTGTTTTCCAAAGTATTTTTGAGCAATGGAAACACTCATAATGAGATCAGTTTGATGTCATAATGTGGAACATTCAAGTATAGCAAGAACATCACCATGACAAGTTTTGGACTCCCATACCAAGAAAGTTTATATAAGGCTAACAGAGGAGGAATAAATAACTGGATAAGTGATGAAACTATGAATCATGATGCACTTTTAGTCAAATTAAATTAAATGCAATTGCCCACAGTAGAACTAGATTAACATCAGTCTATAATTCAGATCTTAGTCATTTTAAGTAGTGTAAAGAAATTGCATTACATATGTCCAATGCTGACTATTATGTTAAAACATCTATACTTATATATATTTCAGGCAAGAGTTCTCCTTAGTGACTCTAAGGAAGGTATTATTATAAAGTATTATTATTGTTGGGATTTAGCTTTTTTCGGGATAATATTTTCACGGACTAGTGGCATATGCGAGAAGACGCAGCTTGCAAGACATACGAGAGGAGACGCAGCCCATGCAGCATGGTTTAGTCCTGGTTAAATCATGTTTTAGTCCTGGTTTTGTCCTGATTGTAGATCTGGTGTAGATCTGGGTTAGACCTGTTTTTAGTTTTGGTTTGGTTCTGGTTTAGTCCTGGTTTTAGTTCTGGTTTAAAGGCACGGGAAACAGGGGAGGAGGCGCAGTCCATGCGGCGTATGGGACCAGTACTGAGGCCACGAAAGCGTGAACCCCCCCGTTCACGCTTTCGTGGCCTCAGTACTGGTCCATGGCCCAGAGGCTGGGGACCCGTGCTCCATAATGAATACAGTGTAGTTCGGGCGGCAGTGCAGTTCGGGCGGCAGTAGCTCAGTTGGTAGAGCATTTGCCCACTGATCTAAAGGTTGGCGGTTTGAATCCAGCTCTCAACATAAACATCACAGGTTGAGCGGTCAGATCCACTGACCCACAGGTTGGCTGGTGTGATTCCAGCTCCCACAGATGAATGCTGTCATTGTGTCCTTGGGCAAGACACTTCACCCACCTTGCCCACAGTGTCTGCGTACACTGGTGTGTGAATGTGTGTGTGAATGGGTGAGTGGTTCCTTGCTGTAAAGCGCTTTGAGTGCCTTGAAGGTGGAAAAGCGCTATAGAAAAATGTGACCATTTAGTTCAGTGTTCTGTTTATTTGACTTATTTATGTTTCATTGCAAGCCTCCCAAGTTGAATGTATTGGTAGAGTAAAAGTTACTCTATGAAACTTTTTATGGTGGAGGATGCGCCATTGATTTATCTCCACTGTCTCCAAGGAGATTTTACTGATACACGTGGAATGCTATATCATATACAGTATACAGTACAATTAAACTTATCCCTTGCATTTATTTGAGCATACTTGCCTTGCCACAGATCAGACCTGTAACTTGGCCTGGAGGAGATAGATATGTTATTATATCTAAATTTCATACTATGGAACATGTTAGGCAAAGCAGTAATATATCCATGGAATCAAGCAGATGACTGATACAGAGTGCACCTTTTACTTATTAAGAAAAAAAATCTAAATAATGAAAAAAAAGAAACACTAGGCCTCTATCATATGAGTAATAAAAGGATCCATAAGGCACATAATAATAATAATATTTACATATACATAGACCATAGACTGTATAAAGAAGTGGACTAAGGGAGTGTGACGTCACCCATAGCACTCGACTCCACTCTAATGAAGCTTACAGAGGCAAGCGGTTATAGGAGCAAATTTGGGGCCAGGTCCTTATTACCTCCACCAAGGAGGTTATGTTTTTGCCGGCGTTTGTCTGTTTGTTTGTCTGTTTGTTTGTCTGTTAGCAACATAACTTAAAAAGTTATGGACCAATTTTGATGAAATTTTCAGGAGTTGTTGGAAATGTGAAAAGGAAGAACTGATTTCATTTTGGGGGTGATCCGGAAGAAATCCTGGATTCTGGATCACTTTGAAATTTTAGTTAACATTGTGGTAAATGGGGCCAAAAATTTTGTTTCTCAATATTTTGGTTAATTATTGACCAAACCCCATGAAATTTGACTCAGGGATGGACAATGGGATCCTCTTTCATATTCCAAAGGCTGATCCGGATCTGATCCAGAAGACTGATTTTATCGCAATTTATATAAAAAATGGGGGTAGTCCTTGGCGGAGGTCTGTGCTCTCTGAGTGCTTTTCTAGTTAGGAATATGAAATTTCCTAATAAAAAAAGTGAAAGTGATCATTGTTTTAAGACCAAAATGACGAGGCTCACTGCAGCAGTTACAAAGAGAGGGGTGATAGATTTCAATGTAAAATCAATTGGAAACTGAGTTGAAGGAGCCAGAAGTGCCACCATGAAGACTTTCTATTTGGAACAAGGATGCTAGTGGGCTGGCTGTGTCCATTTATATATACAGTCTATGACAAAGACAAACTAAAAATGACATATTAAAAACACTTACTTCATTGATGAGAAACTGCAGTTGTAGCACAGCTGCTCCACTCTCATGTTGGCAATAGCAGTCAACTCCGGGTCGCCCCAGTCTGGTGTCGCAGAGTCAAGGAAGTATAAGAACAATTCCATAGACACATCAAACTCACAGAAACCAGTTACCCAACATTTGTGTCTGGCCACATGCTGGTTCAGTATCTCAAAATATGCAATACAATTTCTATTACAGTGTTGTTAGGACTAGATTTAACAAGCTAGTAGATTTATTGTGCAAAGATGAATTGGAGGCAGAAGAGAGTGCTTGCATTTTGTTGGAAGCAGGTGGAAAACAGCAGGAGGGGGACATGACACAACATGAGCACAAAGCCAATTGGAAGTGGGACAGAAATGCTGATTTGAAACGGCATAAAGCACATTTCTCTATAATATATGCCAAATTCACAGGAATAAAAATACAACACATTTGTAAAAGAAATCATATTCATAGTAATATAAGCCAACTTGAATCACTTAGGAAAAAAACATTGCCTGAATAAAGTTAACACAAAAAAGACTACTATGACAACTGACTATTGGTAAGGATTTAACATCATACATTCCAGACTTTGGTGGGACAGGCAATTGTAATATTAATAATTTTACCAGGTACAATTATTTATTATATATTATTATTTGAGTCAAACTATCACTTACAATAATTAAAATTTCTCACACAAACATAAAATTATAATGAAATCCAGTTTTTAAATCTTTGCTTTGAATTGGGGTGGACTGAAAACAATAAAGTAAAAATTATCTATAACTGAGGAGTTTCAAAGCATTTTAATAAAAAAAATTAATCTGTAGTGGTACCAGACTGATATAAAAATACTTGCTGTAGTATTACTTAGTATCAGATCAACAGCTAGAATTGCCTATCATCAACACATACATTATTTGTTATACCAGAAGAAGTAATTAGTCTCCAATACTGTATATTTCCACTAATTTTGTAATTGCACATTTTCATTTGACAGTGGACCAGACCCTGCTTCGTAGTTACAGTATGTCTGTGTGTTTGTCTGTATCATGGTCACTGGTTAACCTGTATTTTGTGCCTGGGGTTCACACTTTGCATCAGTGCCTGCTCACTTCACCATTCACCCTGCTCAGGGCAATGTGAACATGGAGCGTTTTGTATTCATACAACTGTCTGACAATATAGAAACAGTCATGTGTGTCAGGGGGATACAAAGAGAATGTTCAGCTCCAATGGAAACCAATATAAGGGCCATGAAGGGTGTAACTGAAACTGAACTGTTATTTATTTCCATCCAAAAACATATTTATTTGTCTAATAGAAAGATAAACTCTATTGCATAGGAAGTCAAACATGTACACAGCAAACACAGCATTAGGAATCACTGAATGTCCTAAGCTTACAAACAAAGTCAATATTTGTGGTCATTTTATTTACATTGTTTTTCAGCTAAAATATCTGGAGAGTTCACAGTATAGTATATGAACTTCATCACTGACCCATTTGGTGATGTTCTTCATGTGTTAAAAACAGATTGGCCTATCAATTTCTATTTTTTTAATTTATTTTTCTCTGACAATTAATTCAAACTATAAACACATATTGATTAAGAATTTATCCCCAAGAAACTGCTCACTGCAGTGACTCATTCGTCCAGGAGTGGGCCATGGTGGAAAAGGTTTTCAAAAGTAGCTATTATCAGCTGGAAAAGCACAATGAAACCTTGGTGGTTTGAAAGAGGGGTAAAGGAGGCTGTGTGAAAGATATTTGAGGCCAGCCCTAAACAGACACGGAAGCTCTCTCACACCTGGGAGAGGGTTGCACCAAGGATGCCTCGGGTCATCCTCTACATCTAATGGGGAGTCAGTCACAAACACAAGCCCTGATGAAGCTACCTGGTTGGTAATAAAAGACTGACTTCAAAAGGTAAGACAGTCCATTTGCTTTAGTTTAACTTGTTGATAAACCCCCTTTTGTGTGTATGTGTGTGCGTGTGTGTGTGTTTGTGTGTCATCATTACCTTACTCAAAGTTTCATTTTTGATTGATTATAGCAGGAAGTCAATGAACATGTTTCTATTATGAAGCCATTTTAGATAAATACAGTTAAATACAGTTTACAGTTAATTAAATGTAAAATAATGATGTGCATATTTTATAGTTTAACACTAAACACTAAAACACACAAGTACCTTAGTATGCGTATGTACTGTACTGCACAACTTATTGCTCATTAAAACAGATGAAACTCTACATTCATTTTGCAATTACAGTTTTTTCTTTGCATTTGAACTATGCATCAGTGAAAAGTAAATCAGTTAAGCCTGAAAGACCTTCTCCAACTTTTCCTGGGCTCCTTACAAACTGTCCTATTGTCCAGTCTGTAGCTGGGTTGGTACATTCCCCTCTTCTCCTTATTGTGCTTATTTCTGGAGGGTGTGTCCATGTACTCTCCCCTCCACTGGTCCTACACTTTCCGCTCTTTTTGAGAACTTGGAAGGGGCCATTGTGAACACCTGAGTTAACAGCCGTTTGTTTAGCAGCACTGTGGTTAGCACCTTGTTACAGTGGTGTACAGGTGGGCTGGATCCGGACCACGCTCTCTTGGGCTTCCTGGATGTTGACTGTAATGACCAACTTCTGTTGTTTAGTTTGAACTGGCACTGGCACTGCATTTATTGAACTTAAATAAGGTGAACATAAAGTAAAACTAAAATGAAAGTTTTTGTAGCAGAGTCATCATATTATAGTGAGTCTATAATACAGGCCTATAATAAAAAAGTGATATAATAAAAAAAAGTGTTATTTTGAAGCATTAATTTATAGACCACCCTAGAGAGTGGCTGTTGGTGTTCTCAGCCTTTATAAATGGCTTTGTACTTCTCTATCTGATGTAGTAATACAGATATCCTACATAGAGTGCAGATGATGGCAGCTGTGCATCATGTTGTGAAATATGAAGAATAGATAACTTCTGTTTGAGAGTCACAAAAGCGGCCAAGCCTCCAAAGACAAATTTTGCTTAGAGCATCCTGAAGGCGTTGAATCCTGTTCTTTGTCATCAAAATATTTCTGATAATGTATTTGAATTATTGACTATTATTGATTTCCTAACAGAAACACAGACTAAACTAAAACATGTTTTTCAATTTAACAATGTGTAACCCCATATAACATACGAGATAGAGAGAAGTCAATCACAAATGCAACACAGCGCTTGTATGCAGATTGAGTACATCTCATTTCACAGTGACAAACGTCATGAGGTCTCAAAAGGGCAGAAACATCCTCGCTCTTATCACCACGGCGACTGGAGGGAGCTGCTACATGAACTATTGAACCACAACACAGATCTGAGGTTCACTGGGCCACAACAGACTTAGATGAGTTTACATACAGGAGTGAACTTTGTCTAAGAAATTTAGAAAATACTGTAAAAGGGAACTATAAACAGCTACGGAATGGAATAGCAACGGAAAATTTCTCTTATGATCTCTGCACTGACATACCTTGTGAGATTTATTGTGGTTTAGAATTTGCTGGGGGAAAAAAAAAGCATTATATTTATGTCAACAAATCTTTAATGCACACTTTGTCATGGATGGCTTCTTTAATAAAAGCATAATAGACAGCACAAACTTTGCCTCACAATATTCAAAGCAGGGATGATATGATTAATCTTAAAGGTGCACTATGTAACTTTTTGGTTGGGGGTCCATGGCTAAGTTGTTGCTACACCTGGAATGTTCCACAATATGACATTAAACAGCTCTACCTTACATTTATTCAATTACAGGTTGTTTCATAGCTCAAAAACAGATCTGACATGTAACTTGGTCAGGTTTTGTCTCCATGGTGAAAAGCATTTGACGAATCCTGCACCAGAAAACTTACACAATAGACCTTTAATTCAGTCTGTAAATTTGATTCTCCAAAAAACAACAATTTAAAAACAAAATAAATAGGTAAAAGAAATAAACTAAAAAAACTTTTGCAAATAAATTTATGCAACACACCGAGACTAAGGACACAGACCAAGGATTGAAACAGTCGCTTTCGGAAAACAAATTCATGAAAGGGTTTCTGTTCAAAGGTTGTGCGATAAACCTGATTGGATTACTGGACTGTAAGACCTTGAGATGCGCTCCAGCAACTGCCCTTCTCTCAAATCGTCTTTAGGTTATTATGTTTTATGTGATATTTCTTTGTCTTGATTTATACTGAACGCATTACTGAATCATTTCCATTTGGCCAATGCACTGTGCTCCTAGACACAATGGGAACTGGCATAATGATAAGCACAACCTTCACAAGTTCAGTAACCTCCAATTACAGACCTGGGACAATGTCAAAAGTTTAATCGATATGATTACAAGTTCATTTAACCTTGTGATCATAATAATATATCTATACCAGCTTTCTCAACCTAAGTTCAACAGAATTTCAGACATGTACCAACAATTGTATTATTTGGTACTTAGTCAAGCTTGCTCACGATTTTGTGCCAATGACCGAGGCTGCATGGTTACAAATTATAAGAGGTAAGATGGGTAAAGTGTCTTGCACAGAGATCAAACAAGTACAAGTAAGAATAGAACCACCAACCTGAAGGGCTTGTTTATACAAGAACGCTTGCATGTAAAAACGACAAAATATTTTATCATAAGTGCCTTTTATTTAGACGGTAATGGTGTTTTTGGGGCTTAAAAACACAACTATCTGAAGCCACCCTCCAGAGTGGAAAAGTTGAATACACGCTGTCGTATCGTTTCTGTCTACACTGAACTGATACAAAACTCTGGTCAGATCTGCTCGCGTCGCATACATGGTTACGTCACATACATCGCCACCTAGCGTTACCACATCGTCGCCTGGCATGCACACCGAAACGAATTCCACACACTTTTGTGTCACTGTATGCACGCAGATTTCCTCATGAAAACAATCATCTAAATGCGGAATAAAAAGTGAAGACACAACACTTTTGCGTCTTCTGTTAAAACTGTCATCATATAAACGTAGCCTTAAATTAAAAGATAGTTAGTTAATTAGGTTAGGTAATTTAGGTGAGTGT